TCGAATGGTATCCAACACCGGCCTCATTACCGTCATCCTGATACATATATCTTGAATCAAGGCACCCTCCGCCTTCCGGATCAGAGCATCGGCTACCACGTTATCCTTGCCTGGGTGGTATAGGATCTCACAGTCGTAATCTTTTACCACATCCAACCATCTCCTCTGGCGCATATTCAGGTTGGGATGATCCATCAAGTACTTCAAACTCTTGTGGTCCGTGTATGTAGTACACTGAACCCCATACAAATAATGTCACCATATACTGAGGGCAAACACCACTGCCCCCAACTCCAAATCGTGGGTGGGATACCTTGTCTCATGAGGCTTCAGTTGCCTTGATGCGTATGCTATCATGTGCCCTCTCTGCATAAGCACCGCACCCAAACCTGATATAGACGCGTCACAATACACCACGAAATCCTCCATTCCCTCCAGAAGGGCTAACACCGGTGCTTCGCATTATCTCTAGCGAAGAGTCTCAAACAAGGTCTGCTGTTCAGGACCCCAAGTAAAAGTAACACCCTTCGGGGTCAATCTGGTGAGGGGAACAACAATGTTGGAGAAATCTCTGATAAATCTCCGATAGTAACCGGCCAACCCCAGAAAACTCTTGATCTCAGTGGGGGATCTTGGCACCTCCCAACTCATAACAGCCTCAATCTTGGCCGGATTGACCACTATCCCATTCTGATTAATGAGGTGCCCCAAGAACTTGACCTCTTGTAACCAGAAATTACAGTTGGAGAATTTGGCATAAAGGCTCTCCAATCTCAATACTCCAAGGATCTCTCTCAGATGCTCCTCATGCCGGTTTCTGGATCTCAAATACACTAGAATGTCATCGATGAACACAATCATGGATCGATCCAACATAGGTCTGCACACTATGTTCATAAGATCCATGAACGTTGCTGGTGCATCAGTGAGCCCAAATGGAATCACACAAACTCGTAATGCCCCTAACGAGTCCTAAACACCGTCTTTGGGATATCCTCATCATGTACCCTCATCTAATGATATTCAGATTTCAAGTCTATCTTAGAGAACCAAGATGCTCACTGCAACTGATCGAACAAATCAGCAATCTTTTGTAGTGGATAACGATTCTTGACCATCAACTTGTTCAACTCCCAGTAATCAATGCACATCCGGTATGAACCATCCTTTTTATTGAAAAAGAGGATCGGAGCTCCCCATGGCAAGCTACTCTGTCAGAAGAATCCCTTCCCCAGCAGCTCCTGAAGATGCAAGGATAACTCCTACATCTCTGGTGGCGCAAGGAGATAGGGTGCCTTGGTAATAAGCACCGCTCCCGGAACCAAATCAATATGAAACTCCACCTTCCTCTACGGAGGCACACCCATCAACTCCTCAGGAAAAACATCCAGTAACTCACGCACTATCGAAACCTCATCGACAGAAATCGACCTCTCTGCGGCAACTCATGTATCCATCACATAGGCTACAAACCCTTTACAACCATGTTGAAGACTCTGTCTTGCCCTCGCAGTTGAGCAAAATGCAGACCCAGATTAGGTACCCTCACCATACACCATAAGTAATCCCCCACTAGGGTCTCGTATGGTCACCAACTGATGCTCGCAGTCAATAACAACTCCAAATCGGCTCAACCAGTCCATGCCCACGATGACACAGACATCCCCTATTGCAATCGGTACCAAATCTATCAGGAACTCAACGCCGAAAATCTTGAGTACACACCCTCGAATCACATCAGTAACAAAAACCGCTCGCTCGTTAACTATAGAAACTCGTAGAAGGCGACTCAACGCCTCCCGTCGGATACTTATGTGATGGGTAAACACTAATGACATGAAAGATCGACTCGCACCCAAGTCAAATAACACCAAAGCATGTATAGAATTAGTACCTATGCATACCACCGTATAAGCAAAATATCTCAAACTCGGTAATAGTAAACAAAAGAATACATACCAGCCACGACATTGGGTGTTAAGTGGACCTCCTCCGCTGTCAACTGAAAGGCTCTCCCGCTAGCCTTTGATGCCTCGGCCTTCACTGGCCAGACCTCGGTAGCTCTAGCAGTAGGTGCAAATCCCTGTGCTGATCCCTGAAGTAGTTGTGGGCACTCGACCTTCCGATGGCCAGTCTGGTTACAGTGAAACCAAACTACAAACCCCTTGGGGCAATCCCTTGCGAAATGCCCCTCCTTGCCACACTTGTAGCACACCCCTGCTCTATATACTCCCTCATGGCTCTTGCCTCACTTCGCACAAAGTGTGGCCCTTCTGTCCCCCAGATCACGAATCAGCGAGCTTTGCCCACTTGGTTGTTAGTTGTGATTGTATCGGTCGCTTGTCCCTCCTCTGAGACTCGGCCTCCTCCCTGGCTTGTGTCTCTAGCTCAATCTCCCTCTTCCGGGCATTTTCTTGGAGCTCAGAAAATGTATGGTATGTCGAGTTCACCATGAACTCACGAATGTCTCTCCTCGGTATACTCAGATATCGGCTTATATGTGCCTACTCGGTAGACACTTGCTTAGGGCAAAACTGCGCCCTTTCATGAAACATTTATGTAATCACAATCACAGACTTCGTCCCCTGCTTGAGGTACAAGAACTCATGCGCCAACCGTTCCCTCTCCACCGGGGAACATACTCACCTCATAACATGGTGGTGAACCTCTCCCAGGTCACCGTTGTAATCTTTGTAGAAGTGAAATCAACTGTCACAAATTTCCACTAGTCCTTCACTCCCAAGCGAAGCTAGTTCAAAGCAAACTGTCACCTCAGACACTCCAGACCAGAGTAGGTGTAGAAGCATCCTTCAATGTCAGATATCCACCTCATCGCGGCTATTAGATCCTGAGTCCCAAAAAACTCTGGTGGCTTCGTGTTGCTAAACTCTCGGTACATCAACGAGTCACCCCCGGTGGCCTCGCGGCAGCGACAGCTGCAATGGCTGCAACAACAGCCGCCTCAGTAACAGCAGCATATCCCTCGTCAAACTTCTCAATTAGCATGGTCTTGATAGACCCAAACATCTTCGGAATGGCCTCCCGGATCGCCGTGGCCACCTCGTCATGAATCATCTGACGAATCTCCTCGTCGCTAACGCCGCCGCCTCCTGGTGTGTGGCGTGTCCCAACCATGATGTCTCTGAAACACAACTTAAAAGAAATCAGAGACTCGCTCGAGTATACTCGCACTCGATACTCAACCCTACTTCTTCCTTAGTACCCTAAGTATTCTTACTTGGACTGCTCACTAATCCGGTGTTTCTAGTAGTACGGGCCCTATACTACCTTCCACACCGCATTAGTATTCACCCTAAGTCCTCCTCCTAGGATCCTAGATCACAAGTACACTATATCTCACTGAACACAGGCTACCCTCCAGTGGACCACTCATAAGCTCCTCGCTACTGCCTACTCACTCTTGAAGTAACTCATAGTAGAAGGAATCTCCTAGGCTAAGGCATCACAAATCAGGCCATTCTAGTCCTAGATATGAATACATACCCTACTCTAGCATGCATAGCATATCACATAATATCTCATAACACATAATGTAAGGGTATTTTGGGAAATCACTGTTCGGGCACAGGCTGATCGTACACACTGCTCCGTTCTGCTTTTCTCAAAATCTTTTACTCTTTTAGAAAAATTGTTTCTTTTTATGAAATTTTTTCTCAAATCCTCAGTTTGAGTTCTGATATGCCCAAAGGTGCATCCGAATCCCTCAAACCAAGGCTCTGATACCAACTTGTAACGACATGAATTTTCAAAACAATTTTTTTATTATTATAACATAACATATTTCATAAAGTAATCACAAACTCAAGTGTATCAAATATTATCCCAGTGAAACATATTCCATATTCTAAAATACATAATACATAATACTCTATCAGTGTGTACAGATCATGCCGGTGCCTTCCCGCGACCCTCATTGGTACCTAAAATACATATCACATAACACGGTAAGCATAAATGCTTAGTGAGTTCCCTAAAATATCACAAACAACACATAATCCACTCGAGGCTATAACTCGGTAAGACCTTCTGGTCAATGTGTCTAAACGGGGCCCTCCAGTCCCGTTTCTCGTTGGACCATCTAGTCCGGTCTAAATCGTTGGACCCTCCGGTCCAGTCTGGTTGAGGACCTTCATGCCTCGTAAGTCGTTGGACCCTCCGGTCCAGTCTAATATCACATAGCATACATAAATCATAGTGCACATAATCTCAAGCAAGCACATAACACGTAAGACCCTCCGGTCTGAATATAGATACCACACTAGGTAATGTATAGTCAGAAGACTCACCACATAAGATGTCTAGAAAACCCCCGTGCTTGAATCCCTGATCTAGCCTCTGCCTATCAAAATGATAACATCTCTAATCAATACACTCCTTAGATCCACTACAAGAAAATAGCCATTTAGTGACGCGCAAACAATGACACTCGCTGATAGACAACGCGCATTTGCAAGTGCCCTAAAAGATAATGTCAGTTTTGCAAAATTTGAAAGATAGAGGGCACGCATTTGTGCGCACCCTAAAATTAGTGTCAGAAAAGAAAAAAAAAAAAAGAAATGCGGAGGGCGCCTTTCATAAAATGTGTGTCATTTAAAGGTGTCGCTGTATAATTTTTAAGTGAAACACGCGTTTTAGGCGGGAAATGAAATCGATGAAAATTACCCCCACCTATTGAACCCTAAAAATTAATCCCCCCCGCCTCTTCTACTTAGCAAGAAAAAGCCCTAGGTCCCTCACCTTCATCTTTAGTATCATCAAACATCTCGTTCATCCTCTGCATTATTTCCATCGTTCTTCCCTCTCCTCACTGATCAATACCCAAAAAACCCTAATATCATAACCACTCGTCTTTTCTCGCACAACAAAATCCCAAAACATCACCAAATACTAAATTCCACAAAATCGTTGTGACCATTTTAGCTAGGGTTTTTTTCAAGAACGAAAACAATCTCGCATCTCTCTTAGCTCTGAAACAATGGATGATTCACCTTGCTTCACCTTTGGTCACTTCTCCTCCAGCGACGTCAGGCCTTCCTCATTACAAATCGACCAACGATAAGCTAATACTTATAACTGAATGGTTTCACTCTCAATTGGGTGTGCGACTCCTCCATCGCACTGATGACTACGAATGTGACTCTTCCACTACACCTGTGATTGCGTCCCGTCTCACCTCCCTGACCGCTACCTTAATAGGTTTATCTATTCAATTAGATTTTTCTTTTCAGTTAGAAATCGATTTCGTCCCCTCCCCAGCTCTTCATCTCTTCACTAAAATCTCTCTTCATCTATCCACTAAAATCTTCACGGTTTCTTTAATTTCACTCCAAGGGTTATTTGATAGCAATTGTATGGTTTATTCCCTATACTGAATCGCTAGTCAAAACCATTGTGGTGGTTGTGGCGAAATCAAAATGCGGGATTGAACCATTCTAGCAGAGAGATCTTGAAACTTTTGATTAATACTTCTCAAGTCGTCTCCAAGGTAATGTGAACCTCTTGATACTTCTCATGTTGACTCTCTTTTTTTAGTATAGCTATCGTCTTTTAAAATTAGGGCTTCTGTTTGAATCATTTCATTGAACGACAGGTGAATCAGACCATCTTCTCAATTTATTTGACATTGAAGAACAGTGTGTTGAATTTCTTTGTCGTGTCCAATTTATCTCGACCAGATCTCAAGCAGGTTTCAATATTCATCTCTATTGATGCTCTAACTTTTTTCCTTCAATGGAACTGTGGATTTTTATAAACACTAGCTTCTACATAAACCCCTCTTTTAACCGAGCTTGGAAAGACCACATGACTTTCCACATTTAAGAGTTCTTCCTGAAGATGTTAATTATTATTATTAAATATTACTCTCTTCATAATCAAATCATGCAAGAAAATGAAATTCCTTTTATTAATTTATTTTTTTTCTAATAACAGGGTGTTGCAATGCTTGATATTTCTAATTATGGATGAAGAGTTGATCATCATAGAGATATGCGTATGGATATTGATCATATGTCTTATGAGTATACAAAGATTGGCTTCTTTTTTAGTCAAATTACGAAATTGACCTTTTGTGTATATGCAGGAGCTTCTTGCATTAGGTGAGCAGATTGGGAATGCTGGATCAGGGTTATCAGAGGATTTTATTTCAGGTTATTTGTAAACAAGGGTATTTATGTCTTCTAAGTTGGAAGTTGTTTCATCTGCTGATCAAGAACTTAGTTTCTGCACAATTTGTCAGGTAAGGGCAAATTCGTAAAAAGTTAGGGAAAGAAAGTCTCATTTCTTGATTTTCATGCATGTGGTTTGATTTCAACAATGGGACGCCTGAAAGAGAGTCAAGTGTAATTTTCATGCAGGTGGTTTGCTTTTCAACATGATGATACGTGTAGCCGCAGAAAATCAACAAGGTGGTGTTGCTGCTATAGACCATGGGGAAATGCCAAATAATTTTAGTAAATTTATATCCTGTTTATGATGGTATTTATTTTTTATGCGTAGCGTAGTAAATAAATATATTTGTTTTTTGATATGATATTAGCATGTGGGAATAAAAGCTTGTACAATGACAGGGTTGAGTCTTTTGCAACAGCAGCTGGAGAGGGTCAAGATAGGTAATTTCAGTTATTAATCCTGGAATAGATAATTGATATGTTTTGGTTTCTTATGTTGAGGGTTTGTATGCAGCAGGGGATTAAAAAGGTGTAGTAGTAGTAGTGATGGTGGGAAAAAGAAAGGCAAAAAGGGGAGGCAAATCGACCCAGCTCTGCTTGGGTTTAAGGTTACCAGCAACCGTATTATGATGGTAGAGATCCAATGCATTCAAGATTGAACCCCTCCTTTCCCCAAGTTTTGTTTTTTATTTTATTTTATTTTATTATTATTCTTTCTTGTGGTTTTTATATCTATCTATATGTATCTGTATTGTATGTATGTATGTAGAGAGTATTGGTTGGTTTGGTTGCATAGAGTAACTGCATCTGTATGTACCATAGGGTTTTTTCTAGTTCTACTCTTTTTACAGGTGTTAAAAGGTAAGAACAGCAGATAAAACTAGAAGCCTAAATGAAAATTTTGGGGTAAGAGTTCAAATTTGAACCAGTTTTCTTGACAATATCCCATAAAGTAATGTAATCATATACAAATACCAAGACCATTATATTTGTTTACTCATATCCTATGTTATCTATGGTCAGGGGTGGAAACTGAAAGATGTTGCAGTTGATGCTCATATACGTTCCTACTGTTGGTCTGGTGATCTCATTAGATCTTCCTTTTCCTCTGGTGATTCAAGATTTCCTTATGTGCATTCAAATGAGTTAGTCTTTGAGGTTTATTTGGGTTATCTTTTGTCCTAATGTGCAGTTGATGCTCATAGGGATTGTGATCTCACCAAGTGATAATTTAAAGAGACTTGGAGTTTTATTTTGGTTCTCCTTTGTAAGCTATTTTTATTTACAGGCCTTGCGTGTAGCTGTGTTTGCTGATGGAGCAGTTGCAGAAGGCTAGAGCTGCAGAATTTGATTTGGTGGCTGGTGAGGATCTTATTGAAGGAATAAAAAAATGGTAACTTGCACTCTCATTAACTCATATCATAATATTCTAGTCTCACTATCTTTTAATTCATTAGTTATGATTCTACCGCTCTCATCGGGTAGCATTAACATAAAAGAAACTGACAAGTGCATTGAAATTAATGATTTCTTTTTTTTGGAAAACCTACTTGAAGAGTACAAAGCAAATTTAGAACACTTGACCTTTGATATCGGGTAAATCTATTTTATCCTTGAATTAAGTTTTATCAATTGAAATTAATGATTTGTTGTTTAGCTTGTTATTTTAATGAAATCAGTTTTATTAAAATGAATTTTGTTTATGTCGTGGTCATGATAGATTGGTACACTCAGATGCTGGCCTGGTGGCTTTTGTCTTTCACTGTAAGTGGCAATGTAGTCTTTAAGTTTTACTCTTTCAAGTCCTTTACATGTATAAGGGTTGTTGGAGCTGGTAGACAAAGGCATAGATACAAGAAACTAATCAACAACAGGTAAATTGTAACTAACTCCAAGTAAACTAATCATCTTAAACTTCAACTCCATATATGCTAGGTAACCTGGTTGTTTCTGCTGATGAAACAGGTCAAGTTGGTCCTTGTGTTGCATGTCGTTGTCAGGTAATTTTTTATTTATGATTAAATATATTATTAGATTAGATTTTTTGGTTTTTACATTTCTCAATTGTAGGTTTTAAGGAGTGTGAGTCAATTGTCAGCTGGGACAAGTCAAGTTGAAGAGAGCGTTCACAAAGCTTACATTTCTCTTATTGAAAAAGCTGAACACTTCATCTACATTGAGGTACATCATAACTTAACAAAATATTTTGGTTTTTCGTCATTTTGGGTAATTTTATAAAATACAACTTTTGTTTCCATATTGATCCGGGTAAAAAAAAACCCGTTAGATACGGGGAACCCGATGGATATCCGTTTGGTAAAAAATCCATATTTTTATAAATTTGAGATATATAAAAACATATAATAATAATAATCATGATAACTAAAACATTCAACCTTGAGTGTCACTGAAAAAATCATATTACATGGATCAAAATTAAATTACAACAAAAAATGATTACATATATACATTTAAATTACATCCAAAAAGATTCAATGGATGCAATAAAAATTACAAATAAAAAGATTATTATGTAAGTTGAAAATGTCTCCTAATTCCTGAACATATATAATCATAACCGATAAAAAAACTGAAAATAGATACAATCATAACCGATAAAAAAACTGAAAATAGATACAATCATTTAATAAGTTACAAATCCAAAATCACTGAAAATAGATACAATCATAACCGATAAAAAACTGATTTAGTTAGTTTCTACTTTCTAGTAGTGACAACACGTTTCCATGATGGCATGAAAGTGGTATTAAGTATTTGCATTCTTATTATATTATACCCCTCACATTTTCCCAAATTACCCCTTCCTCTACAATGTTTTTTTTTTCTGTTTATTTTGTGCATCAGGTAAAGTTGATGGAAGAAAGGAGTATAAAGCCACTTGATTTAAATCTTGCAGCATTATCAACAACATGCAGTAAAGACTTTGAGTTAAGTTTGGCTAAGTCATTATTGAGTGAGATGGGCCAATGTACAACTACTTATCCATATAATCAGTTGTTTGGAGCATTAGTCTCAAAGGATTATGAAAGGCAAGATGCAACTTTACTTAGTTGATATACATAGTGGATTAGATGCAAATCTATATATTGTAAGAAATATAATTGTATGACATTAAATTTATGCAATGGATTCTATTTTTCGTATATGATATTTTATTTTCTATTATGAAACATTAAATATAAATTTAATTTGAAAATAAGTAAATCTATAAATAATATTTTTTTAAACATTTAAAATTATGATATGCAAAAATGTGTGTCATCTTCATTTATGATATGGCCTTTCTTGACAGGGACTTTCTTGATACGCATTGCGTATCATTAACACGCGCGTCGTAAGGTTACGACACGCGAATGCGTGTCGTCTTCCTTTATGACAGGGCCTTCCTTGATACGCATTGCGTGTCGAAAACGCGTGTCGTAATTACGCGTCGTAAATGAGCGTCGTCTATAGACGACATGCAAAAACGCGTCGTCTCTCTTTATGACAGGGCCTTCCTTGATGCGCATTTGCGCATCGTCTGCACCTTTTACAACTATTCTACCCCTCCCTAACCATTCTTTAAATCAGATTGACCAACCATAAGGTCAACTGAAGTAAACTCAGTCAACGGTCCAACTTTGACCAGACTCGTCGAGTGCACTCGAGTGACTCGGAGAGTCCATACATGTCCTCTGAATCCTCCTAAGGCCTTACTCCACTCGTCGACATAACCTTTCACTCGACGAGTTACCACTGATCACGAATCGCGGGGCAACCCGATCCGACTCGTCGAGTCCTCTTATGGACTCGGCGAGTTTCCTCCATGGCAACACTCATTTAACCTTCTGAGGTTAGATCTGATTCTCTAACTTATATATCTAACCTTCTAACACCCAAAAATCACGTAAAGGCTCAATATTTATGTCGGTGCACCACACATCAAGCTCTATTTGATGAAATAGCTCTTAAAATGACAACCTAGATTTAAAACTCCAATGGGACGGCATAAAGCTGGATGATTGGGACTCTATGGACCTAGAAGGGTTCAGATCTATAACACAAACTTGAAAGAGGGGTTTGAGGCATTCAAAACCCCAAAGATGAAGTGATTTAAGACTTAACCCCAAAAATGGAATCTACATAATAGGGAGGAAAATGGGTTTGATTTGGTACCTAAGAATGAAGCTCCTTGCTTGAATAACTCGGAACAACAACCTCCTCTGGTCCTTCTTGTTGGAGCTCTTCTCCTCTCTTGTAAAATCACACCAAAAAGCTCAAGATGTCTCTTTCTCTCACTCTACACACTCAAGCTTGTTAGGGTTCTCTCTTCTGGAAAGGTAGCCACGAATGAAGTCCATAAGTGCCTTTAAATAGGGCTCAGGCCCAAAAGATTTAGGCTTTCTGCCAACAGCGTGGACTCATCGAGTCGACTCACCGAGTCGTCGAGTCCATTCATTAATCCGAGTCATTAGTCGTGATCCTACTCGACGAGTTTAGGCGTCAACTCATCGAGTCCCCCTTCTTAACTCAAAAATAAATACTTAAATCATGATACCTGGAAATCAGGATGTTAGAATCCTGAACGACAACGCATGTATACCTATGTGCATAGTTGGAGTAGTGAATGCAGCGCACCGGGAGCAATGATTACGGGTGAGATTTGTGCCTCACTTAATGCATTGGGTTGTACTGGTCACGTTAGTAGCGATCAGGGTCTTGCTTTGGGGATTTTTGCGGTGAATAAATAGACCCTAAATAAGAGGTAATACATTAATAATTATAATGATGAGCAGTGTGTAATTATTAATGTAAAGCGGAGAAACAAAATATTATATAATAATATTCAAGCGGTGAATCAATAAGATTAAATTAGTTACAGCGGTGTTGAGGAGAGTAACTAGTAAAATAAGCTCTAAGTGAAGAACTAAAATAAACTGAGTTAAACCTATGTTTGTTATGAGGTGTGATGTTGTATGTCTGGCTAGTGAGTCTTTGACTGTGTGCGGATGTTTTGTGGAATCTATCTATGATATGTGTGTTTTCTTGACACTGTATTATATTGACTCACTTAGCTTATGCTGACACTTGTTCTATGGTTGTTAGTTTTCTTTGTATGTTGGAACAAGTAGCATGACATGATGCCTTGGTTAGGATGGGAGCTTTTAGGTAGTCTTTGTTAGCATCTTTAGATATGATACCTGTAACATACACGTTTTGTTATCATGTTATGTAATTATTAAATGTGAATAATATTAAGTGTTGAGTTCTAACAGATAGTTTTTACTAGAAATGAAGTAAAACTATGTTTACAATCACTCGGAAAATGTTGAAAATCTTACGGGATTCCAATTAAAAGTTGAATAGTAAAATTTTAGCGAAAATATGAAATTTGAAATAAGTACAATTTTATTATTTAATGTTGTAAAGAATCTTGTTAGAAAAGTTTAGGCGAAAACCTCGTCGAAATTCAAGTTATAATAAAGAAGTTATGACCAATCGATGATCCGCGACAAATCCGGCAAATACTAATTCGTGTAAGTAGTGAGTTTCCGATAAACTACTTTTTAGCTTTAGTGATCTAAATGAAAGTTGTAGAACTCGTGAAATTAATGAACTTTCATATAAAGAACTTTTGAATCTGACTTTGTACGAGGAATTTATGGTTTTTCTAAGTTTCAAAATAGCGGTAGACAGCTAAAAAACTAGAAATAAAGATCGAGCGATATTTATGCGAAACAACCTAAACGAGAATTGAAGGTCTCGTCAATAGTAGTACAATGGTAAAAAGACAGACGAAAACAGACGTCGGATGAAGAAGTTATGAATTTTTAACGGATTTTCTTGTCGCTGTCTATTAAAAATAATATTATTAAAAATAAATTCAAAATTAGCCGATGGAGTCTAAACTAAAGTTGTAGAATATATTCCCGCCTACGTGTGCATATAAAGAACATAAAAAACGGAGCTCGTATGCAAACGTTATGGATTTTAGAAGTTTTGGGCTCAATTTCCAAGAAATTCGTATGGATAAGCCTTATCCGGAACCAGCCACTTCACCCTCGGTCCGAGTAGGCCGCATGTCCGAAGCAGCCGCGTCACCGATGCATCATGCAGCCGAGAGTCTGACGCGTGGACAGTGACTCCTCGCTTCCGAAGTCGTGGCGTGTCCAAGGTGAGACGCGTGTCGTCGTCTGAGCCGAGCCAGCAGGCATCCAACGCTTGCATCCGAGCCTCGATGGCCTTCACTGGTTTTGTCGCGTGTTCTTCCTTCGGCCGAAGATCCGAGCCACGTCCCTCTCCCTCTTTGCTTCGGATTCGACCCTCGCAGCTATATATAGTTGCTGCGAGATCACCCGGGTAAACTTTGGAAATTTCCATTTTCATCCCCTTTTCAATATTTTTATTATTTCCACTTCCCCCGAAGTCCTGATATCATTTTTAAAGCCCGGAACACGTTCCGAAGTACCCGAAGAGCCCGAGAAATTTATCTTTTCGGTTTGAAGCTCTACCTTTGTAGAGCCTCGTTTTCAAGAAAGCTCCCAGTTCTTATAGAAGAAAGTTATTTATAGTAACGAAGTGATGTACAAATTACTATTTTAACCCCCGGTTATTTCAAGGTGAGTTCAATATATAGAAAAAGTTGTATGTTATGTATTATATGTGTTGTGTGCTTTTTCTATGTTATTATCTCGTGTTGTTATTTCATGCTATATTTGTAGCAAAGTTATACCTTTGACCATGTGATCAGTGAAAGGACTTAGATTCACGGTGGTACTGGTATGTAGCCTCTGATCATGTAGAACATGTCTCGTAAGAGAAAACCTTCTATTCTATGGCATTGACAAAAGGTTAGATAGGACTGGTATGTAGCCTTTGACCATGTAGAGCGTGACTCCGTAAGAGAATGACCTCTATTCTATGGTATTGGCAAATGGTTAGACAGGGCTATAAGCCTGAAATCTACAAAAATGTTAATCATAAATTGTATGTCTTTTGTGCCATTTGGGCCAAAGCTTTATTGATGCATATCAAGTATTGAAATCGTTATGTCTCATTGATCGTAAATCTTTGAAATAAATCTTGATTTAATATTGAAAGCCTGAAATATGATAC